ACGATACTACAACCGAAAAACACGCCCCAGATTCTTCAAAATTGGGACTTCGTGCTCAAAAAGGTTTTTCAATCTACGAAGGCAGCTAACTCGGGGAAATTAAGTCCAACATGGGAAGGACCCTATAGAATTCATGATATTGCAGGTAAAGGAGCATACGAGCTGGAAAAAATGGATGGCAAGATACTTCCGTCACATTGGAATGTTGTTCATCTAAAGAGATATTATTTCTGAAGAATACCCACGGTCAGGTATCCATATTTTGAAATTTAATTTTTGAATTGTTAAAATTTTACTAACGATTTTAGATGATAGGCAAAATGCTAACCCGTACTAAATGATGAGTCACGACCTGCAAGGCACGTGGAATAAATTAAACTTCTTGGCCTAGGGTTACAATTATTCTGATAGAAATTCAAGCGGGTTAAGTTGTCTTCATCTATAATCGTACCTCCGAGTCTTGTATGTTTTTCCTTTACAGGGAAAGGACCAAATGAGAGGAACAATCAAATGCTCGAGGCTTCATACTTCAACGCTCAAACACTTGGGGGACTCCATAATATACACGTGCATGTGTATAAGGAAGGCAAAGAAGATCAAGCCCTGAAAAGTTCACTCATTGAATGAAGTACAAAGCAAAGTCACGGGCTAAGGCCAAAGAAAAACTTTACCATAGTTAGGGTAAAGGCTATGTACTGAAACAGGTTATAGATAAAAACCTCGTGTTTATTACCTTACCATAGTTAGGGTAAAGGCTATGTACTGAAACGGGTTATAGATAAAAACCTCGTGTTTATTTTTCTTTTTAAATCTGTTACACGAAAACCAGTTACGAGAAAGTTATAGATGTAATTCAAATACGTGTAAAGTGTTACTCAAAACTAGACAAAGTTCAAATAAAAACTTGTCAAAGTTATTTCAAAGAAACATGTGTATTCCTATTTCTTTTATCGTATGTTAACACCATTATGAAGTTGAAACGTCTTCTTCATTGAGTGTCGAATATAAAAGGGCTCTCTTTTATAAATTCATGATTAATGTAAATATTCATGAAGTTAATAGAAGCATCTTTAAAGAATAAAAATGCAAATTATTCCATAAGTCCTTAGAAATAAAGGCAAGAATAAACAGAAGTTCAAGATAGTAATGAGAAAACTTCTTAATATTAAAAAGCTTAAGACTAAGCACAAACTTAGTCATAAACTGCGAATTGTTTATACAAATTGCCCCATGAAAGGTCCGGGGACTTGAATTTCCAAAATAAACCCTTAAATGAGGCCAAGGGTTTTACCACAATGTTTCCAAAAAAAAACACAAAGAAATTCAAATGACTTAAACTTATCACTAAGAAGATGTAGGAACTGAAGTAGGTGCATCAACAGCAGCGGGCTCAACTGGGCTTGAAGGAGTTGGGATACCGTATCAACTTCAACATTCACGGAAGCTTCGGCCACGGGAGAAGGAAAATCTTGAGTTTGTTGAGCCTTCTCAATAGTTTCATTGATTTAAGCTAACTCAGATTCCAAGTTAAAAGTCTCTTGCTAGCTTCAACTAGGGTATCACGACGAGAATTCAAAAATGCCCAACTCACTTCAATGACAGATTTATCCTCAAGGATTTCATAATCCCTTTCCTAGTCAGCAATTTCATTCTTTAATTTCTCATTTTCATCCAAGGCAAAAGTGTAAGAAGCTTGAAGAGAGGCATGAGAACTTTCCAAGGCACAAACCTTATCAGAAGAAGCTCGGAGGTCTTCTTGTGCTTGAATCAAATTCTGCACAAGCTCTCCAGCATAAGCCTCTTCTCACCCAAGAGAGCTTTCAACTCTCTAATCTCTTCACTTGCCTTGGACAGCTGCTCGGAGAAGAGGGTTCAAGACGAGTCTTTTCTTTATCCGCTTGACTTGAGGAAGCCTTTTCAACTGCCAATTTTGAAGTCAAGGCCCGTACCTGCTGCTCCAAGGTACTCTTACTTTCTTATAAGTACTCCACATCAATCTGAAGGCTTTCATACTGTTCCTTTCAATTACACACCTCTAATTGAGAATCACGCACTAATTGCTCTGAGAGGGCAACCCTTTTCATCATCTCCGTGCCGATAAGATTGGCCTATAAAAAAAAGGAAGGGAAATGAGAATCTCAAAGATAGGAAAATTTTAAAGCACAACAAAGGAAAAAAGAGAAGGGAATACCTTTAAAGAAGCGTGCACATTATCATTCATCAAAATCAAGGAGCTATGGCTCTCTAGCTTGGATCTTTCAATTGGTTCGATTAAGGGCTTTAGCCACACATCTGCTTGACCCGATTTCCTTAAGAGATTGCCCTCAGCAAGGACTTCAATGATCACTTGCCTCATAACACCACTCCTACTTGAGGAGCCAACTTCAGCACGGTGAATGATTGGGGGAGAAATTGTTGAAGGAGGAATAGTGGAAGTAGTAAAGATAGTCTGGGGAGGAATGGAAACAGCCGAGATCGGCAAAGAAGGAGTCATAGATACAGGTGTAGAAAATGAAGCCAGAGGTGCTTCATCCAAAACTGGGCCTAAGCCTTCACCACCAAACCCGCTGATAAAAACCTACTCAACAGAGTCATGAGTAGCAGCGGGAGCAACATCATCGTCAAGAATCACTACCGGGGCTTCAATAGACTCGGTAAGGGGAATAGAACGGCGGGGGGATGCTTCTTCTTCATCATCAGAAATGATGCGTCTTCGAGCCCGTGGCCTTGTTATCAAAGAGCCCTCGTCTTCCTCTTCTTCAGAGCCTTGATCATTACCGGCTTTTCTTTTCGATAAAGAACCCAAGATTATTTCTTGGGCCATTTCCAAAGGGATACGAGAATTCGTGACCACCTCGGCAGTAACTCATCGAATAGCAAATTCTGATAGAAAGAAGGATTGAAATTACTTCAGAGAAATAAAAAAATATATGTAAGATAAAAGCTCTTACCATGAGTTTTTACTTTCCAACCAAATCGTTAGGAAATGGTCTTCCAAGATCTACCATCCATTGGCGCAATCTTCAATAGCTTGTCTACCCAATCACGGAAATTGGGAACATGTTCTACAACTCCCATGATTGCTGAAAAAGAAAGGCAAAATTAGAAAAATCAACAAAATTGAAGAAAAAGGTACGAGAAAGTTAGAAGACTCACGTGCAAAATTCCACTTCTCAGAGAAGGAAACGTTCTCATCACCCACTAAACTAACAGTGGGGGCAACAACAAACCTGGCATACCATCCACAGTCTTTGTTATCTTCAGGGCTAACTAGAACTCTTTTGCTCCTGGCTACTAGTGTAAAAATACCATTACGAAAGAGTCTAGGGGAGTAAAGGTAAATCTGATGCGGGAAAGTAAAAGGCACACTGGTTGTGTTGGTCAAATGCCTCAAACAGGCGACAACCCTCCATATTATTGGGCCACTTTGACCTAAGCAAACATCAAAGAAATGGCAGAACTCGAGAATAACAGGATCAATAGCAGGTTTGAATCCTAAAGTGAAAGGGTACGTATAGACAAATGAAAATCCGGTTAAGTAGGAGGTAATTCTTTGATTCGGATTGGGAATAATGATAGGAAAGTCATGATCCCAATGACATTCTTTACGAACTAAAGAAATCAAACCTTCAGTAATTTGAGTGGGATAGATATCAGCACGGTCTAAAGAAGATACTTGATTTCTAAGAGATTCTCTGTCATTGAAAAAAGATAATCCCGCAGGAACTATTTCTTCTACTAAAGGTTCACGAAGAGGTTCAGAAGGTTCTTTACCCCTAGAATAAGATCTTTGTGAAAGAGAACCCCTAGTTCTAGAAGAGGGGCCAGAACTAGGCGAAGGAAGAGAAGATCCACGCAAGGATGAAGATCCCAAATTACGAAACTTACCTCCTCTTCTGCTCCTACTGGAGACATCATGGAAGTTATCAACTATGGGGACCCTTCTAGGGTTAGGGTTTGATGAAGACATGACAGTACGAGGAAGAAACGAACAAAGATTCAAGATCTGAATATTTTGAAAACTTTATGTAAAGACAAAAAAGAAAATTATATTTATACTACGAAGCAACCGTCAAAGGAAAAGGAGCACTGATGGAAAAGTCATAATGAGAACTGACGCTTCGTGATTAGTGAAGCTATGAAAAAGCCCTAAAAAGCGCTGCAACATCGCAGATCCAGTAGAAGGGTGCCACATGTGAAGAGCATTAAATGGAAGTAACAAATGAGGTGTTGATTTTATTATAGCATTAATGGTGACAAAAATTTCCGTTTTAATGAATTTCACTTCCCAAATATTCAATTGATAAATAAATGGCAAGTGGGGGACTATCTGTATTGGGAAAAAATTGAGTTTACATATTCAAGTGATTGGAAAATGACATGTCATGACACGTAGACTGGTCAAAAAGTTATGATTGGCAAAGAGACACGAGTTGCAACAGATACGAGCAGAGGCATAAGAGGAAGCACGAGCAGATACTCAAAAGATTCAACGCCCGTACCTATTTAGGTCCAAAAATCAAAGGGAATGAATCTGACAGTTCACGAGAGTACAAATACAGTATTTAATGAGCCTTAAATACTAAAAATGTTAGAGAATTTGTATTAAATACAATGATTATGTAACGTAGCATTTAATGTCTTTAATTTCCTATAATGGCCTTATCATGACAAATGCAAAACGCATATCTCCAAAATAGCTATAAAAGGGAGAGAATGGATCAATTGTAAGGACACAAAATATTATCTGAATATACCGATTTACTTATTTTTCTTCTGATTATATTGCTAGCCAAATTACTTTCTTTCAAATATGTTTTTGATTATCAGTAACCCGAGTTTTTCTAAATTAAAGCTTTGACCGAAATCTCATTTTTTGGTTAAACATTAGGATTATCAATATGAATGTCTTTTATATTCCGAATTATATCACATGTTTATGTTTCTTGTTACTCATTCCTTCTTGAGTAACAAGGAAATTATTTGACATCTTCTACATATATACATGTAGTTCTCACATTTCTGCTTCAACTGAGTTCAAGTACACTATCATATCTAACTAAGTTGCTCAGAAATAATGCAAGGGCAGCCCAATGCACTAAGCTCCTGCTATGCGCGGGGTCCGCGGAAGGGCATAACCACAAAGATCTATTGTACGCAGTCTTAACCTGCATTTCTGCAAGAGGCTGTTTCCACGGCTCAAACCCATGACCTCCAGGTCACATAACCACGACTTTACTGGTTACGCCAAGGCTCCCCTTCTACCCATAAATAATGTATTGCACAGAAAACTGGTTGTTGATTTTATTCTGACTAAACATCTTCTAGCAGTCATAAAGGGTAAAATGTGGTGAATAGTCTTCATTAAACAAAGCTGCTCGCTTTTAAGCCACAACCTGCCCAGAAAAGAAAATACAAGCAGCAATATCTCGGTAGTTTTCTTTTTCTTCCACTGATCTCCTTCTCAGGAATGCCAGTTGCATGGGAAACCATCGTATTGTCATCCTTTGATATCCTATCCATTATTTTCCCTGCTGTCCATTGATCTGACGAGCGTAAAGCAATGTGTTGTGGCTCATCAGGAATTGCAGCATAAATATCGGATGATTCTGGAGCAATCTTGTTATGGTGTGCATCCCTGGTGCACAAACTAGAACTCGTGCGCCTGAAAAAAGTTATACTTAGAAATTAGAATAGGGATTTTCTCGGTTAGAGAAGAAATTACCTAGCATATGACTGAAAGCAATACATGTTCAAAAGGAATACGGACTATTCAAAGGGAACCATTTTAACTTCTAAATTGAAACTTAAGATTTCCTATTGTAATGAGTTAACAAGTTTCTTAAGTGTAAAATGGTTTTTGCAATTTCTATGTGCTCATTTGGCAAGTTATTGAACCAATAAGTTGCAAGTTGAACCATTTCATGCAGAATAAGCTAGCGTCACGTCATGCATCTATAATCATCAATAGAAGCCACCTATTTAGCAAACACAATTTACCTGGAACAAGAGCTATTTCTGTGTTCATAAGAGGTTTCTTCTCTAAATTCCTGTTTTGTTACTTCACCACACTCTCGAATGTTTCTACAATCATTATCGGAATCAGATGATTTTGAATCTTTTAGACTTTCTGCCTCAGCTTCTACTGACTTCACATTAGCATTGAGAACAGTCATAATGTCAAGGTTATGCCTATATTCCCTTATGACAGAAATAGCCTCCTCCAAAGTTCCTAGAGCCTGTTTGACCTTAGCGCTAATACCAACATTCTTGTTCTTGGTTGCCTTCTGTACAAGTTGATTGACTGGAAAATCATGTACTTTCCTTTCATCCTCATTTTGATGTTCGATCTTTCCACACGTTTCATCTTCAATCTCCTCGATTTCACCATGAATATGTTTATCTCTAGCCTTCAAGATACAATTGTCTCTATGAACCTTTGCCTCGGGGCGATTTTCATCAAGAGGAACTGCATCTTTCTTCAGGTCTAGCGGTTCTGAAGCGTCATCACTATTAGGTAGGTTATCTGAGTAAATAGCTTCACGTATTCGAGCATACATTGGATCCGTCAGTGTCTTGCTGAAGTCTTTATCACCTTTAGCAACTGAAGCTACTTCCTGCAGCAATGGTAGTAAATTACTTGCTGGAGCATTCAAGTATTATTTTTATTAATTCACTTTTTAAAGTACAAATATTAAATATATAATAGAATGATCTCTGAGTTTGGCATTAACCTTTTTATAAAGCTTGAAACCGCCGCCTATGAGCTGCCTTGAGACGAAATTGATTAACACTGGAGGAATAAAGTCCAGTTTAATATCCAAGTTTCCTATTGTCCTGCAGGTTTTTAAAATAGAAAAAGAAAATCATAATAGATAATAGGAAGTGGTAATATTTAATGAGGTAAAACTTTAGTAACACTAAAGTCCAGTAAACCCCGAGATCTTGAACAGCCTGACTCATAAGTCAAGCTTATGTAACATATCATTAGGAGTTCAAAACACACTTAGGTGAATTTTAGAAAGATTTACTGTTTAATATTCTGTTAGATTGGTGCTTCAACTCCAACACTAAACTCACATCTTTGCCAAAATTACCTAGTCCATTTCCTGATATATTCAATCATATTGTTGGTGCTTCCATTTTTATTTATAGATAGAATGTACCAGGTGAAATAGTCCCTTGTGGTCCGGCCCTTCCCCAGACCCCACGCATAGCGGAAGCTTAGTGCACCGGGGTGCCCTTTTTAAATGTAGGTTATTAGTAATTGGATATGTAAAAAGTGTACGTTACCTGAAGTAGCTCCGATTATTAGTAACTTTCTGTAGAGCAAAACCTCCCACCAGATCAACTCGTACTACATCTTGCGCATGGGGTATCCCATCTTTGGAATAACCATGAGTACTTGTATCAACACTATCTAAGTTAGAGATCTGGAAAAAAGACACAGGAAAAAGCATAAACTTTTGCCGGCTATCAATTGGATTAACTGCCCATGTGAACAAATATATATAATTTTGGACATATAGATAGTTAAGAAAAATAAAAAGACATTGACATTTGACAAGCATTCACGTGCTTACCGAATTGGCAACGACTACTACCAGACCATCTTGCAAGTATTCAAATGCAAAGAGATGTACCACAGCCTCCCTTGCTGACAATGGCCTTGAAAGCTTCATCCTTTCTTACAAGTAGTTAAATACAGATTAGTGGCATCATAAGAATGCGACGGTCTGGATACCTCTATATCTAGGAAACTATTGGAGGACAAACCTTACTAAACATATTTGTTCACCATCTCTGACCTTCTGCAAGCACTCGGAAACTGCTACCTTAAAAGTTGGAATTGTAGTTTGTGGCCACCTGGTAAGAAAGTGGCACAGAGTAAGACAATTTGCTAATCCAGAATGAAATTGTTACCAAAAATATCACTTGAAATAAAATTCCCATGTATTGTTGGATATGTGCTTTCAGTCTCTAGTTATCCCTTTCATATATTCTCTCACAAGCCACAATTTGGGATACATATTATTGCTCGTAATGCAGCAGAAAGACCTAAGAATGTTGGACATTGCATATTTTCCTACCCAATATATTCACAGAAACTGTCAACTTCGAGTGTTAAAGTCATTCAGGTACAGTACCATATAGTAATTCGCAAGGATAAAATGAATGAGCCTTTGGTCATGAGTCTCATGACCATTTTTAATTATGTTCTGTTGCATTTGAAGCTTAATGTGCTGCATGCAACTGTCACAAACATACAAGATTCTCACCACTTCTTATAGAGTTCTGTCTCCCATGATATGCATAAACCTGAAATAGAGAGATTTGCTTATCTTTAACATTCTCCACTACTACACAAATAGTTCAACGATGAAGAAGAGATATATTGACATCAAGTTGATCTTACAAACATCTAGTGGACCATCCACATAGCCTTCAGCTAGGAGGGTGTGATAGGGAGTGCCTTCTGGTCCCTCTCGATACATAACACGGATCTCCTCAGTATCCTGTTTTATCTGTCATAAGAAGAAAACAAGCATCAATTATTGTTAGTATCCCAAAATTCCCTGCCTTGAGAAATGGTAAAAAAGATCCAAAAACGGAGCACCGGACAGTAGTAGCACTAATAAAACAAGCAACAACCACTGCCTAGCAAATGAGTTTAAGTTCAACATAAACATTGGTCCGGGGGGAGGCTTTCAAGAATTAGAAAAAAGTGATCTATGTGTATGGGAAAGATAGCCTACTTTCCAACCACCATTCGATGCTTCAGAGGATTCGGACTTCTCACCGTCAGTTACTGATGCACTCCTTAACATGCTCAGGAAGTTAGCCACTTCCTTGGTTCTTCTGTCCACTAGATTTTCACTACATTCTGCCAAACGAAAAAAATAGATATGTATATGTTTTTTATGTTGCAGATTTTATAATTAGATTAATGACATGTAACTGAAATTGATTTATGACGCTGACCTTGAGCATCACACTCTGATGAGCGTAGAATTTGATTCTTGACAAGGGTCTTAAGCATATCATTATTGACAAGAGCCTGAGACGATAGTGTCTGGTCCAATCTACATCGGTACTGAGAGATGTTACCGGTGTCCCTCATATTGCAGCTCCAAGCAAAAATGGGAATTGTCCTCTAAAATTCATAAAAGCCAAAAATCTATAATGAATGAAGTGGTTATGCATATGAAGTATGAACATACCAACAATCCTATTGTTTGACCAAAAAGTATAAAACCTTTTGTTAAACTAATTAAATAAGAGATAACGGGTAAATCCTAGTTAAAGATAATAATTTATAGACCTGAAATCTGTTTTAACGCAATCCCACGTTACCTGCACCTATGGCAAAAGGATTCATCACAAGACATCAAAGTTTTTACAAACAAATTTAAACACTCAGGAGATATATCCATGTAAAGCGTTTTGCTAATATTCTACATTATCAAAACTCAATTATACTCGGTAGCCCGAGAGACTAAAACAAAGAAGGGAAAGGTCTCTCAGCTCTCGATTACTCAACGAGATATACTAATAGTTGGATCACCAAATCAACTACCTAGCTATGGTGCAATGTATATGTAACATGAATCAATATGCTAGAAACATAACTGAAGTACCATAAGTCCATAATGTTACAGCCAGTCCACCAACTTGAACTCTTCAAAGATACTAGAGTAAAACTGTAAAAAACTTAAAGCTTTCCAGCAAGATCATTACCCAATATCAATATGTGCTCACAACAGATGATATATGCTATTGTTTTAAATCATTATCCAAATAAATAAAACACTAAACTCAAGTCATTTGCAAAGTTGATGTAAATGGAAAAGTTACTGCCACGTGACTAGGAGGTCACAGGTTCGAGCCGTGGAAATAGCCTCTTGCAGAAATGCAGGGTAAGATTGTGTGGAATAGACCCGTGTGGTCCGACCCTTCCTGGACACCGCGCAAAGCGGGAGCTTAGTGTACCGGTTGCCCTTTTACTAAACTCAAGTCATTAAACAACAGCCAAGATACAGAAGCTATAAAACTTGATCAAATACTCATCACTTCACCCCCCCCCCCCC